AGAAGTCGCTGCGTTTTGGCACGTTGCGGGCAGGGTCGAGCAGTCCCACGGGGACCTCGCTTTTCCAGCAGACGCTCGCAGTATCAGCGGGTCGTAGCGGGAACTTGGCGGCAGTGTGGTTTGCAGCATCAATGATGTGTGCAGTGTGTGCACAGATCCTTCCTCCTCCCCTCTCTTGTCGCTCCTCCCTTCTCTCTCCTCTCTCCTCGCTCCTCCGTTTTCCCCTTTCCGTCCTTACCCTCCCTTCTCCCTCCTCCCTTCTCCTCAAAGGTAGGGCCCTTTGACAACAGAAACGGGGTTCCTTTACACATGCGTGTAAATACAGTGGTTCTCGTTTCAATCTTTGTTAAGGCCGGCACGGAATAGTAAACGTATGTGGCAGAATTTGACGCAGTACGTCGGCGACGCATTCGGACGCGTGGTCGACGTGGTCGAGGCGGGAAAGTGGCGTTCGACGTTTCATCAGAGACAGCGGGGCCAGTTTGTTCAGCTAGGGATTGCCGACGTGGGCTCCGCCCGTCACCGTGGTGCGTTCAGTCCGCGCCGCGTCTCTTGACGCTACGCGCTCGGTCTCCCTCTCTCCGCGCTCGCTACCCCTACCATCTACGCTATGCTTCCAGCGAGCTAAGCCAGGCGGAATGCGCAACGCAAGTCGCAACACACATCGCAGCATAACATCGCGGCACAGTGAAGTGAGGCAACACACGCCGCACGGAAACCGCAGAAACGAGCGCAACACACGCACAACAAAGCGCATGATGTTTGTTTGTTGGCGGCGAGGCGGACGCATTCCGCACAAGCGTGAGGCGAAATGGGGGCACCGAACACCGACTTGCTTGGCATGCAAGAGAAGGGGAGGCAAAGAGGGAACGGCCGCGCGAGGGAGGAAGCGAGGGCGGGAGGGCACTCGGATGCGGAAGAGTTCCAGGTCGAGTGGGCCGGAGCGGCCTGCCAAGGCGGTGGAGCCGCAGCAGCAGCTGGGGCTGGGGCCAGGGCGCACCCGCGGGCGCCGCCAGGGCAGCAGTCGGAAAATGATGAGCAAGTAGAACCAGTATAGGAGCGCATGACACAGCACGCAGCTATAAATGATAACGCTTTGCGCGCCTCGTGCTTCAATTTGAGGGAAGGGGGAGCGCACTCGGCCGCAACTGGATATAACTCCTCCCTCTTTTCCCCTTCCCTCCTGATTCTCCCGCCCGCCCGCCCGCCCCCCTCCTCCCTCCTCCCTCTTCTTCGGCGCTCCTGGCCTCACCCCTTCCGCAGTACTCGCACGACGCGGCGTGGCGGCGGCGGAACCCCCACAAGCACCACTACTCGCCCGCGATGTGCTCAGAGCTGGGGGCTTGCGCGGCAGGCGCCGGGTCCGTGCGGCCCAGGCTTCGTCCTCGGCGGAGGAGGGGGGGAGGAGGGACGGATGAGGGGAAAGGATGAGGAGAGAGGGGTGCAGAGTTGGGGAGTCGGTTTTCCTTCCTTCCCCTCCCCTGCTTTCTTCGTTATCTCGTCTCGCATCCTCCATCTGATTTCGCGTGAGACATGCTTCGCAACTCCTGGCTCCAAGATGCCGCGCGCGAGATGGTCCGGCGCGTTTCGCCTGAGACATCTTCGCAATTCTTGGCTCCGAGGGAGGACGGAGGAGTGAGGAGGGAGGAGGGGTCGGACTTCAACCATTTGATTCCACTTCTGTTGTCGAGTTGTGCTCTGGGAGCGGTCTGGGCGCCGCAAAAGACATCCTCGCAACTCTGGGCTCCAAAACGCTGCGTGCGAGGTGGTCCAGCCCGTTTCGCCTGAGACATCCTCGCAACTCTGGGCTCCGAGGAGATGTTCGCGAGGTGGTCTGGCCCATTTCGCTTAGGACATCCTCGCAACTCTGGGCTCCGAGAAAATGTGCGCGATGTGGTCTGGCTCGTTTCTCGTGTGAGACATCCTTGCAATTCTGGATTCCGAGATGCTGCGCGCGATTGGTTCGGCCCGTTTCGCAGAGTTCTTGGGCCGGGACGCGCACGTGCCTCGGGTCATGATTTGTGCCCCCACCCCCCCTCTTGGACGCCCCCTCTTGGACGCTCCCGATCCGAACCAGGCACTTTCGCCTGGTTTGGGGCCCCGGGGTCCTCACATATCGATCCCGCTCGAGAAATGGGCACATGAAGATGGGGTCCGGGGCTTTGGTCGTGATTTCTCGCGATGTCGCAATTTTTCAGCAACGTCGATCTCAGGGGACGGCGGGCTGCCCCCAGGGTGCGGGCCCCACGGAGGCGGCCCCCGCCCTGGACACTCCGCGACACCATGAGGCGAGCTGGGACGAAGAGCCGGCCAGTCCCAGGGCCCCAGGGGAGGGATCGAGAGCTGTGGGCGGAAGGCCGTCTTCTCTAATCCTGCCCCCTTCTCCTCTTCCGTGGGTGTTCTCTCTCTCTCTCTCTCTGGTTATTGCCCAGCAGGCGCTGCTTGCCCGTTCGCCCACTCCGCAGACGAGCAGAACTACCACCCGACAGTGTATAAGACGGCGACGCGTCTCTGGGAAGATATGGGAGGAGGGGAGAAGGAGGATGGGACTGGAGGATGAGGAGGAGGGAGGGAGGGAGGGAGGGAGGGAGGGGAGGGGAGGAGGAGGAGGAGGAGGAGGAGGAGGAGGAGGAGGATGAGGAGGAGCAGGAGGAGGGGCAGGAGGAGGTGGATGAGGAGGAGGAGGAGGAGGAGGACCAGTGTAAACCCAAGAGTCATCAACGATGGTGGAATCAACCATCCCTCCAAGCTCCCTCTTCGTAGGCCCCTACAACGGTTCATTTCCACTGAGGTAATGCCTCGTTGGAAGACAACCGTTTGAAGACCCTGAAGCATGCCAAAACATTGCTCTCGGGACTCCAGCGCCATGGATCAACCGGATTGTTGCGTCTTGACGATCCTGAATCACGCCACAACACCGCGAACCAAAGCAATTGTTGCATCTTCATAATCCGGAATCTTTCCAAAACGCTACTTCTGGTACGTTGATCATGGGAAACCGTGAGCCGGTTGCAATTTTTTACAAACGAATGTGCGCGGCGCTAAGGCGATAACCACATTTTGAAAAGGAACCGCCCTTAATCTTTGAAGCTGTTCCAATTTTTTGAAAGCGAATGTGCGCGGCGCTCAGGCGCGAGCAACATTTTGAAAACCACCCGCCGTCAATCCGTGAAACTGTTGCAACTTTTAACACGGATGTGCGCGGCGCTGGGGCGAGAGCCACATTTTGCAAACCACCCGCCCTCAGTCCGTGAAATTCTTGCAACATTCAAAAACGGATGTGCGCGGCGCTGAGAGACCATTTCTTTATTGCTTGGGGCATGACGGGCGTCATGGCCCCCGCCCCTCCCCCCCCTCTTTATGACGTAATGCTCCCCCCGCCAGTACGCTCCGGGCACTGCCGCCGTGCGTATTGGGATCCGCGTAGGTGTCCGCGTAGTAATCCGCGGAGGAGTCTGGACCGCAGTCGTCGTCGTCGTCGTCGTCGTCATCGTTGTCGTCGTCGTCGTCGCTCGTGGCTCGTGGCTCGTCACTCGTCGCTCGTCGCTCATCGTCGTCGTGCGCGCGGACGAGGCTGGAACCTGTTTTTTTCATTCCGGGCCGATGACGGCAATCATCTGGGGGGGTGGAGGGGCTCGATGACGATGACGTCACGCTTCGCGCCTGCGGCGCCTGGGAATGCCTAGTAATGACGAAGACAGGTGGCACCAGCATGTAGGTGGCGATCTGCACCACAACGCCTGTGTACACCTCAGTGCCTGCGTGCACCACAGCGCTTGTGTACACCACACCGCCTATATACACCACAGCAGCCGCGTGCAACACAGCGTCAGTTTGTGCCACCGCGCGCGCGGGCACAACAACTCTTGTGTACACCACAGCGCCTGCGTACGCCACATCAGCCGTGTGCAACGCAGCAGTGTACACCACAATGCCTGCGTGCATTGCAGTGCCTGTGTGCACCACGGCACTTGTGTGCACCACAGCAACCGTGTGCAACACAACACTACTGTTGTATGTAGAATGTTAGAAGGAATCGTTATGACAAATGGAGCGTTTGTGGATTCCACCGAAAACACCAGAAACAAATCCTTATGGACAAGGGAACGCCAAGGGAATCTACGAGTCCTTCCGAGTTCGCCCGCATCGCCGTAACTCCTCTCATCTGTGTCCAGGAGGCTCCAGTTAATTGGCCGTCCGAGGACCCAGTGGGCCGATTCAATCGACCATTCTGCGGTGCACGCTGAGTTGTGCACGTGTGCTGTAGCGCCAACCCGCACGAAATGGAGTAAGGAGGAGGAGGAGGAAGAGAAAAAGGAGGAGGAGGAGGAGGTGGAAGTGGAGGAGAAGGGAAGAGGGAAAAACGTCGCATTCGATTCTCAACAGTTTCCTGGCGTGGCGCTTCCGCAGCAGATCCTCACGTACAGGCTCTTTCTACCTGTCCTATGCACGCAGGCGCTGTGGGGTACAATAGCGCTGCGTTGCACGCGGATGCTGTGGTGTAGACAAGCGCTGTGGCGTGCACGGGCGCCGCGGTGCACGCAAACATTGTGGTGTACATAGGCGCTGTGTTGCACATGGTTGCCTCCTGTGTGCACATGGACTCCGGCGCTGTAGTGTACGCAAGCATTGCAGTGTACACAGGCGCTGCGTTGCACACGGTTGTTGCGATGTACGCAGGCGCTGTGGTGTACACGCGCGTTGTGTATGTGCACGCGAGCGTTGTGGTGTACACAGGCGCAGCGGGGCAGATCGCCACAAACATGCCGCTCGCGTCGTTGTCGTCGTCGTCGTCGTCGTCGTCGTCGTCGTCGTTTGCCGCTCGTCGCGTCGTGCATGCGGGCGCGGCTGTGGTGCTGGAGCAACACAGCGGGGGGGGGCGTTACGTCATTCCCCCCCCGCCCCCCCCCCCCATGACGCCCGTCATCGCCGAACATAAAGAAACATTTTCTAAGGCGCGAACCACATGTTGAAAACCACCCGCCCTCAAGCCGTGAAGCTCTTGCAATTGTTTTGACAAGAATGCGCGCGGCGCGAAGGCGAGAACTACATTTTGAAAATCACCTGCCTTCAATCCGTGAAATTCTTGCAACATTCCAAAACGGATGTGCGCGTCGCTGCGAACCACCAGTTGAAAACCACCCGCCATCAATCCGTGACTCTCTTGCAATTTTTCAAAGCGAATGTGCGCGGCGCTAAAGCGAGAGCCACATTTTGCAAACGGCCCGCCCTCAATCTGTGAAGTTCTTGCAATTGTTTTGACAAGAATGCTCGCGGCGCTAAGGCGAGAACTACATTTTGAAAATCATTTGCCCTCCGTCCGTGAAATTCTTGCAACATTCAAAAACGGATTTGCGCGTCGCTAAGGCGCGAACCACCTGTTGAAAACCACCCGCCCTCAATCCGTGAAGCTCTTGCAATTGTTTTGACAAGAATGCGCGCGGCGCTAAGGCGATAACTACATTTTGAAAATAATTTGCCTTCAATCCGTGAAATTCTTGCAACATTCCAAAAGGGATGTGCGCGTCGCTAAGGCGCGAACCACATGTTGAAAACCACCCGCCAGCAATCCGTGAAGCTCTTGCAATTTTTCAGAGCGAATGTGCGCGGCGCTAAAGCGAGAGCCACATTTTGAGAACGACCCGCCCTCAATCTGTGAAGTGCTTGCAAGTTTTTGCAGGGGAATGCGCGCGGCGTTAAAGCGAAAACAACATTTCGAGAACCACCCGCCCTCAATCCTTGGAAATCTCTGCCAAATCTAAAAAACGAACGTGCGCGGCGCTGAGGCGAGAGCCACATTTTGAAGAGCGAAACGCCCGGCCCGCCCTAAAACTTTGCCTCGGGGTGCGACAGGGAAACATGATATATGAGGAAATGGAACCCAGGTGGAGGAGGAGGAGGCGGAGGCGGAGGTGGAGGAGGAAAAAGGAGGAGGAGGTGGAGCAGGAGGACCAGGTAGAGGAGAAGTAAGAAGAATGAGCGAGGAAGGGGGGTGGGTGGAGCAAGGTGGAGGGTGGAGGAGGGCGGAGAAGGAGGGGCCCAAGGGCGAAGGAGCAGGGCTGAGGGGCGAGGAGCGACAAGGGAGGAAGGAGGATGAAGGACGGACGAGGGAAGAGGTACGAGTGCGGGAGAGAACTGACTCGTGAAGAATCCGTGGCTTGCCAGTTTTGTTTGCTTGTTTTTGTAGTTGTAGTTGCGACGATCGGCCACGTGAGGCTCCAACGACAGTAGATATCGGTCTAGGCCCGAAGTTCGAGCGATGGCTGTGGCTGATCCAAACCCTTGGCTGAGCATCATGTGAACGAATCTACAGCTCGACTCTCAGTTTATCACACCAGCTTCCCGTCGCAAGAGTTGTATTGCGGGTTTGCACCTGAGGCAATTGGGCCCCACTCGCCTGCAAAGCCTCGCAAGTACATGCGCGCACATACGCACATGTCACATGCGTGATACCCCAATGCCGATGCATGGACGCCTGGACGAGGTTTTTTTTAGGATTTGTTGGGGGCTTCCTCCGCCGTCTGGCCTTTGAGGCCGTGGTCTCCTGGGCCGTCTTGACGTTCTCTTGGACCGTCTTATTGGCCTCACGGGCTGTCCTGGGGAGCGTCTTGGGGGCCTTTTGGAACGTCTTGGGGAACTGGGGAACAAGGACAAATAGGTGCTTGACATGGCCCCACCTTCGGAGGCCATCTTGGAGGCCATAATGGGGGGACCATGTGAAATTTCGAAGGCCTTTCGGCTGGTGCCGCCGACCTTGTGTGCTAGGAGGGGGAGGAGGGGCAGGAGGATGAGGAGGAGGAGGATGTGGGGGAGGGTCATAGGGGGGAGAGAGGGAGACGAGGAAAGGGAGAGGGGGCAGGCTGTGGGAATGAGCCCCTCTGGCTCACTGTTCTGGTGAACCCCCCTGGACTGAAGCGAGAGGCGAGATCGTGTGCCAACGCAACCGCTTTGGCTGAAGCCGGATCTCGCCCACTTGTTGACAATCCCGAGCCCATCACATACTTCCCTATCCCACCCCACTTCTACCTTTTACACCTCCCATGGCGATACTTGCGTGCCAGAGCAGAGGGATCCTTGGGCGAAAGCGGCCGAGGACGAGAAGGGAAAGTGGGAGTCCTGGAACAGCTGGAGTGATCACGGATGGAACGATTGGAAAACCAGCTGGAACAGCAGGTCGTGGGACGATCGAGGAAAAGACTTCTCCGGACCAGAGCCCTGGACGAGTTGGAACGGATACAATATGTGGCGCAGGACCCTCAACCGCTGGAGACAGCTTACCGACGTACCGGCCCACAAGCACGCGGACCGCATCCTGAAGGTCTTCCCACTAGAACTACAACGGAGAATTGAGGATCTACCAGATGCGTCGATCACCTCCAAGTAGGGCGCCGAGAAGATCCCAGAGCGTCTTGACTTGCTGTCCGGCGGGAGGATAGACGATGAGAAACGAAAGGCAGGTAGAGAATGTCTGCTCTTGTTCAGGAGAAAACAGGGCGAAGG